GTGTGTGTGTTTTGTGAGTTCAGAGAGATAGATGATGAGAGAGATGATGATATATATATATATGATATGATGATATATATATATATATATATATATTTAATATTTTATTTGTTGTAATACTATAGTAGACTATGGTATACTATGGTATACTATCGGTGTACTACCAAACCCTAGCCGCCAACAACACACAACCCTCGTCAACCCTAGCAGCCAACATCTGCAGTCGTCGCAACCGTAACCTACCAACTTTGGAAAACCTAGATTTACGATTTTGACCAAAATCGACGAAAATCTCTTGAGATCAAGATCGAATCTCTACCATAACCACATCCCGCCGCCATCTCGACCACCACAACCGGCTGCCATCTCGCAACCACAGCCACACGGCGCCGATTGCTCCACCACAGCCCCCGCCGCCGCCCACAACACCTCACTGCCATCTCAACCACCACAGGCCGCCGCCGCCTCCCCCATCCCAGCCCCCCGTCGCAGCCTCCTCCACCCCAGCCCCCGCCGCCGTCCACAACACCTCGCCACCATCTCAAAACACAGCCCGTCACCGCCACCTCCTCCACCCCAGCCCCCGTCGCCGCCCACAACACCTCGCCACCATCTCAAAACACAGCCAGCCACCACCGCCTCCTTCACCACAGCCCCCGCAGCCGCCTCCTCATCCACCACAACCCTTGGCTTCGACTATTACCAAATTAATTAACAAGAGAGAGGTATAGAGATAGAGAGGTTAGAGAGAGATGGAGAAAAAAAACGAGATTGGAAAAAGAGATTAGAGAACGTGTGAGAGAGGGAGGGAGAGAGAGAGAACGTGAGAGAAACCAAAAGAACGAAATAAATCTGAATTGGAGAAACGAGAATATGTAGGTTATATAATTTAGGGTATAAGGGCAAGATAGGGATTAAAAAAAAATTAGGGATGTGGCTCATATATTATTTTAAATTAAGGATTTAATTAAAAAAATGAATTTGAACTTGTCATTTAGTTCAAATTAGGTTTCGTTTGAGGGGCTCATAGCATATTAACCCAAATATTTATTATTATGATAGATACTTATCCATAAAGAGATCTAGACAAAAAACTCATTTACCAATAAGTACACATATGGTCCAGATTTTTGTAAATGATTAAAATAGCCACTCATACTTTTATATGCCCAATTTCATCATTAACTTAATTTAATCTCAATTTGACCCCAAATTTCACAAACTATTCAATTTTGACCCAAAACGTTTTTTTTTCAAAAATTTTTTTTGCCGCCGATCTCCGGCATTGACTTTTCAATATTTTTTTCTTCCGGATTGTTTCGCCGATTTCCGGCATTGACTTTTCCGATTTTTTTTCTTTCTTTCTATAACATATTTTTTTTAATATTAACTATATTACTGTTAAACACAGTAAAATTAACTAAACTATAGTTTAACACAGTAATATTGCTATATTAATCTCTAGCACAGTAATATTAACACAACAAAACTCATTATTATTGTATAATAGAGTAATATTACTATGTTGACCGTTCAACAAATGTAAACATAATAAAAAGCCAAAAGAATTAATATTACTGTGAGTGACAGTGATATTACTATAACAACAGTAATATTACCGTCAACCACAGTAATATTACAATAATATACAGTAATATTATTACGTTACTCCGTGAATAACTCAAAAAAAACAAAAAACCCAAAAAAAGAATAATATTGATGTTGTTTACAGTAATATTATTGTGTTTACAGTTATTTTACTGTCAGCGACAGTAATATAATTACGTTGACTTGTCACCAAATCAAAAAAAATAAAAAAATAACAAAAAATAAAAAATAATAATATTACGTTAATTTACTGTCAACGGCAGAACAATTACATAAATGTATTGTCAAGGGCATTCAATTATGTTAATTAACTGTCATTGACAGTATAATTTCGTTAATTTACTGTTAGTGACAGCACAATTACGGTCAACGTTTAGCGGCGGACGTAAAAAAAAGTACAAAAAAAAACACCTAAAAAGACACTAAAAAAAAGTCAACGGCGGAGACCGCCGGAAACCGGCAAAAAAATCCAGAAGAGAGAAAAAAAAATCAACGCCAAAATCCGACGAAAAAATCCGGAAAAAAAAAAAATTTAATGCCGGAATCCAGGGGTCTCAACTGGCGCGTGTGAGGCACGATTTGATTCCAGAGGTCTCAATGCATTGACTTTATAGGGAAGTATGGGTGAATTTTTATTTGACAGGGGTATTTGACAATTACATATTAGACAGGGGTGGTATTAGCAATTTACTCCATTTATATACATCAAAAAAACAAATATAGTAATTAAGATTCAAGAATACGTAACTGTGGAGTGAGGGTGATACTCCTTTATTCATGACATCACAAAGTACATATATAACCCATACATAAATTTTAACATAAGAGAAATATATAAATATTCATAACATCAATATTATTGTAAATTAAGCATTGGTAAGATGGTGGGACTCAATATCTTTAGTCAGCTTAACGCAAAATTCCATGAGAGTGTGCGGATCTGGAACATCCTCGTTCAGTTTCTCGTACACAAAAGTCCAAGTGACGAGGTTGTCTTCCCCGACAGTGTCAACATGAACCGTCGCTTTGAACGTCTTGTATAGCTCCATCAAATCTCCTTCAACGATATTGAAAGTCACCGACTTCTTCTCCTCATCTATCGCTTCAATTATCTCTTTCGCCACACACTCTTTACCATCTGATACATATACAAAATCATCTCATTTGTTTTATTATTATAAATTTAGTAATTGAAACATGAAAGTTATAAATATGGTTACCGTGGGTGTAGTTCCAGAAGATGACAGATCCTACGGTTCCCCATTCGCCGTGGTGTAAGTCGCAGTTTTGAATGAGATCAGGGCTCATGTCCGGTACGTGGTGCGGCCTCTCTCTGAAGATCTCGTGGAACACATCTCCGTCCGATTTTATGTTTGTTTTAGAAACTAACTTCCCACTCAAACCCATCTCTTATTTATTCTCTACTATATAATTTAATCAACATACATATGAAGGAATAGTTTTGACAAGAAATTCATTAACCTTCTATCATTTATATACTCGATTCCTCAAAAATGTACATAAACATTTGGCCCCATTTCAAACGATGATTCGAGTCAGGACCACATCAACTTTTTTTTTTTTTTTTATAAGTAGGACCATATATATCAATTTGTGTGGACTGAATTAACCATCAAAAGCACAAATGAAAATAAAAAAAAAAGAAAAAAAAAACATTATAAACGTGCCGTCAGAGTCTTTTGATTTATATGCCTATGAAAATCTACTCGTTCTGTTGAGACAGATTACTTGATACGACATTAGGTGTGGGAACAAAATTCTTGAGTGTATACAAAATTAATCTACTAAAAGCAGAATAAAAGAACACAAGAATTTAATGTGGTTCGTAGATTTAAGTGTACAATATTAGACTTAATAAAAACACTAAAGACTCCCTTTTTATGTTATATGTTGTTCTTGCACACAACTCTAACTTGTCGATATTCAGAGTAATTCCTCCATCCGCACTCTTGGACTCTCTACACAAAGTCTTTATGCTGGGATTTTTCGATTAAAGCTTCATATGACTCATGTGAGATTGAAGGCTTTATATAGGCACGAAATTCACAACCCTAAACCTAACTTGAGCCTAAAGAAATCAATTTAACTAGGTAATAGAATCCTAGTCGATTTCTACTTCTATTCTAGATAAGTACTGTTGAATTTGAATGCCTATCAAAGTCCACTCATCTGTTGAGACAGACTACATGTTACGACATTAGGTGACGACGTAACAGAATTGTTGTGTTGTCACAGTAATAAATCTACGAAAAGCAGAATAAAGAACACAACAATTTAATGTGGTTCGGATACAAATGTACCCTACATCCACGAGGACTTGCAAAACTAGTTCAGATTTAAGTTTACATTAATAGGACTTAATAAAACACTAAAGACTCCCTCTTTATGTGATACGCCGTTCTTGCACACGACTCGAACTTGTTGATAATCAAAGCAATTCCTCCTCCGCACTCTTGGACTTCCTCCAATGTTGAACTTCCTTCAAACGGCGGATCGACCTCTCCCGAGATCTTTTAAGCACTTCTCCCGAAACGCCGATCTTCTTTGTGGCATGGTAGAAGAAACCTGTTATGTTGCCGTACCTGATGTGTCGACAGGGCTGCACCACGGGCTGCACCCTTCAAAGCCTTTATGCTGGGATTTTTCTTTTTAAAGCTCCATGGGACTCATATGAGGTTGAGGGCCTTATATAGGCACGAAATCACCACCCTAAACCTAACTTGGGCCCTAAGAAATCGATTAACTAGGCAATAGAATCCTAGTCGATTTCTACTTCTATTCTAGATAAGTACAAAAGATACCTAACTATAATATAATACATGGAAATAAATCTAAGTCCTAATAAAAATATTACAAGAATAGGACTCTAATTAATTCCAAAATAAACATGGAAAACAAATCTTTGCCAATCTTTAATTTCCACGTATGGCGGATTTCTTCAATCTTCACAAACGGAAATTTGGTGCCAACAAGTACAAAAGATACCTAACTAGAATATAATACATGGAAATAAAACTAAGTTCTAATAAAAATATTACAAGAATAACACTCTAATTAATTCCTAAATAAACATGGAAATAAATCTTTGCTAATCTTTTAACTCCAAAGTATCGCGGGTTTCCTCAATCTTCACTAACAGAATTCTGACGCCAACATAATCAATTTTGATTATTATAACTTAGTAGAATTATGTATGCTTATAAGTCTGCCATATGATCATATGGTTCCAATCTTACCACTTGATAGCCTTTTTCTCCTTTATTTTTTAGCTCATTTCACGATCAAGCTCGTGAAAAAAAAGAACGATACAAGAAAAAACAGTCGAATTTGTACTACATAGAAATCACAACGCATATTTGACGCTTATGTTTCATCTTCTGAAAACCAATGCAACTCTGTTTCACTACTTCTACTCTCTTTTTGGATTTGCCACACTTGTAAAGACCACTCGTACAATTGGCTTTGCTTTCACTGAGGTGCATGCAGTGGCGAATCCATGATTTCTGACGGAAATTTTCCAAAATTAAGTATAGTAAAAAATATAAATAATTTATTAATAAAAATAGTGGACTTAGAATGGAAGGGGATTCGAGGGCAGCGCCCCTGATTTTTTTTAATAGTATATGCATAAAACAAGAAAATATGAAAAATTCAAGGGGGAGGAAAGTTTAGATTTAAGGCATCATCAAGGTTGATATAATCCACATAAGTAGCCCAAACCGTTGATACAAGGTTCGCCGGAACAAAGCGGTGCATTGTCGCGAACACTGTCATTCTAGTTTCTGGCAACGTCGCAGTCGCACGCAGCCGTAACAGACATATTTTAATTAAATTGCTAAAAACGTACAATTTATTCCAAATATATTTTTAATAACAACATTACAATTGATCTCAGCCTCTCCAATGTCTATCTATATATTATGTATTACTGCCGAAGATAAAAGATGGGAGTCACGGCATGCTATTATTATTGGTTCTATTATTGAATTATTGGGAGACAGAGATGTGATAGGAGTGCTTGCGTGCTAAGTTGATGTGCTATTATTGAAGAGTGAAGAAAAAGATGTTGCAATTATTTTAATAATTATGTGGGGTTACATATGTGACGTAAATGTGTATGGTTATCTAAAAGAAAATCCAAATTAATTGTGATCTAATAAAGATTATTGGGTTGGACTTATAGGTATTAGACTATAATTATGGGCCTAATGTGTAGAGATAATTAGGGTTTAATTGTGATTTATTGATGAGGCTGAATCACAGTTGTAATATAACTGGACAGTTATGTAAAGGGTCATGGTCCCCAAAGAAACTCAGCTCTTCTAAAATCCATTGTGAGAGAGATACTTAAGGAACTGCAGATTCTTTGGAAGAACTATCCCATGATATAAGGTACGCTTCCGTGTTTATGTTTAGGTTTAATTCTCGTTGATTCAAGCATGTTAGTTCTTGAGAATTCGTATGTATGTAAGATAAAATTTCTAACAAGTGGTATCAGAGCCACCATGTTTTGAATTTTCGAGAATTTATGAATTTTGTTGTGTTGTATTCAATTCAGCACTATGTAGCTTTGATTTCATGAATTCCGCTGTCATGGATCAACGTATAGAAAACTTTTAGGGTTTCTGATGCAATTTTATATTCAGTGATTCAAATTGCATGGTTAATTTCGTTTTTTTGGTTAAATCAATCATGATTATAGTATTCATGATGTAAGCAATTATGCAATTGCTGGTTGTGGAATAAAATTTAGTCGGCCTGTCTTTTGTGTGATTATCTATGAATTCCACAATTGAATTTTAATTTCTGACTGGCAATTTTTGAATTGCACAATTGTTGCCTGAATTTGAAAATTCGGATTAAAGTGTTAAGGATTCATTCATTAAGAATAAGAATTAAGGTTAAAGGAATCAAATCTGAGGATTCCAAATCTGAAATTTGGGGCGGCGGTTTTTTCAGTACCGCCAATTCATCGGCCGTCGTCGGCCACCAACCACCACCCCCTCACTTCTTTTCCGGCATCCATTAGGTGAAATGGGCGGCTTGCGTGCGCTCGCTCATATTATTACTGATGTTGAGATTCGCCTAAAGGGAAGCCGGAGCGCCGACGATGGATTCCGACGGCGTTGATATTTGTGGGTTGCGTGTTTCCGGCGGTGGTATGTGGTATTGATGGTGGCGGTAGAGTTGGCTGAGGTATGACGGCGGTTGATTTGCTAGAGGCAAAATTAGATTAAACCGTAAAAAGTACCCTTGTGTAATCTCTAAGTAGCGAAAACCCCCATATGATAAATAAACTAGCAAAAACCCCCATGTGAATAAAAAGACACAAATACCCCGAGATTTTGCAATTAATAAATTCTTATATTTTTTAAATATTTTAATTATTTTATTTTTGTTATATCTTAATTATAAAGATACAATGGGGTCTTTAATTTATTTTTATTTTTATCATCACATAGTTTTTGTATATATTTTAAATTATCGCTACATCAAAAGAAAATTTAAATTCCGTTATTATATATTTAAAAAAATCTATACTTAATTTGATTAACAAATTTTTAGTAATTTTTAAATTTAATTATTTACTATTTTTTAACAATATTTTAATTTCTAAACAATCAAATTAAAAGGAAAATATATATACATATAATATATATAAATATAAATACATTTTTAGGGACAATTTCGTCATTTCACGTCCAAAAACCTACTACCAGTTGTGCAACCCGCAAGTGAGCCACAATTAAGTCAACCGGGGTTTTTTTGCCTTTGACTAAATTTCACTTTGCTATTTGGAGATTACACATGGGTACTTTTTGCAGTTTACTCGGCAAAATTAGGTTAATAAAGTTCTAGCAAATTGCAACTTACACCAATCAAGTTTTCTGAAATTATAAATTGACCCCATGTTTGGGTAATTCCTGATTTTGGGCTGCGGTCAATTTATAATAAATGAAAATCTGATTTTAGGCCCAAAGCTTCCGAAAAGTGCATTTCAGTGCCCACTTTTAAAGTTTCTCCCAAAACTGTCATATATGTTTTGAAAATATATTTTAAATACTAAATTAAGTATTTCTGAATCTTAGGTCCCTTTTCACTCAAAGGCTTTTCTTTCAAAATTTCAATTCAGTCCTTTAAGTTGAAAGATTTTCCGGTTTTGGGGCAAGGGGAATTTTTAAGGAATACAAAAGTTAATTTAAGGTTTTGGGGCCGTTTAAAATATTTTAATTATTTTGAGGGACCGAACTAATAGGTGAATTCTTTTAAATCACTTAAGCTTTTGTTTGGTCAATAAAGTGAAATTCATTTGAAATTTCAAATTCGGTTTTCTAAGGCTTAATAATTAGGGAATTTTCAGATTTTTACGTTCATGCCTTATATGGCTTAAATGTTTTAATTAATGGGTCGAATTAAGGATGTGAAGTAATTTATTAATTCAATAAGTTTCTGACCAATTTTAATTTAAACATTAACAAATCAAAGTATGAATAATATTGGTTATTAGTTAACCAAATAAAGTTTGATTCATTCGGCATTTGAGTCGAAACCATTGTTTTAAATCTAAATTGAGTTACTAATATAGTCCAAATTCATATAAAGGTAGATTTATTGGCTAAAATTGATTTTGGCCCATAAGTCTAAATAAGGTTGAATTGTAAGCCCCACATTAATCTTTAGCTCAAATTCAAAATAAAGATGAATTTTGTTGTAAATGCATTGAATATGCATCAAGTGGATGTCCAAATAATAAAGAGTTACCAACCATTAATGGTCTTTAATTGAAATACACTCTTGTAACTCTTAGGACATTAATCTTCATTGTACTATAAATAGCTTACTTTGTAAGACACAAAGACACATTTGAATATACAAGAAAGAATAAGAAGAAAAAGGTTCTATTATCCTTACATTTGATCTCCCATATTCTTGTTTCACTTGAGTTTCTTTAGTATATTTATAACACATTATCAACACGAGCTTGCTCCCGTTTTTCATTGAAGTTGTGCTATGGCAAACATCACCAAGCTTGAGTTCGTTGCTCTAGATATTTCCGGAAGAAATTATCTAACTTGGATCCTTGATGCTCAAATCCATTTGAATGCCATGAACCTCGAAAATACCATTAAGGATGGTAATGAGGAAAGTGAACAAGATAAGACGAAATCAATGATTTTTATTCGCCATCATCTCCATGAGGGCTTAAAATCCGAGTATCTTGGGGTAAAGGACCCTGCTACTCTATGGAATAATTTAAAGGAAAGATATGATCACCAGAAGAGTGTAATACTTCTTGAAGCTCGATATGAATGGATGCACTTAAGTTTGCAAGATTTTAAATCGGTAAATGAGTATAATTCCGCCATGTTTAAAATTATTTCTCGATTGAGATTATGTGGAGACGATGTCACAAAACAGGACATGTTAGAAAAGACATTTACCACTTTTCATGCCTCTAATATGCTCCTGCAGCAGCAATATCGTGAAAGAGGTTTTACCAAATACTCTCAATTGATTTCTTGCCTCCTCGTTGCTGAACAGAGCAACGAGCTCTTGATGAAAAATCATAACTCCCACCCAACAGGATCACAAGCATTTCCATAAGTAAATGCAAATGTTTCATTCCCTGAAGTGAATGCAAACAACTATAATCATGGTCGAGGTCGTGGCCGCGGGTGTGGGTATCGCCGTGGTCATGGTCGACATCAAGATGGTCCTAGAGTTGGACCATACCACCCAAAGTGGAATAAAAATGGTGAAAAACAAGACAAGGACAAGGCTGTAAAATTTGGTCCTCATAATAATCAAAATGAGAGTTGCCATAAGTGTGGAGTGAAAGGACACTGGTCACGTGCCTGTCGTTCTCCAAAGCACCTTGTTGATTTATATCAAGCACCCATCAATGGAAAAGGAAAAATGAAGAAAGAAATCAATTTTACTGATTTTAGCAACACCGAGAATGATCATATTGATCCAATGGACCTTACCCATTTGGATGTTGCTGATTTCTTTCACGAGCCAACTGGAGAAATTGATGGGATCAAATTTCATGGTGATGATAACAATGATGGCAACAAATAGATTAATCAGGATTGATTAAATATTACATTTATGTTGCATTTGAGTTAAATAATGTTTATCTTTCATTCCCTAAATGAGTTTGAAATAATTTTATGCGTGGTTGGTAATTTGATTGATATAAGAAACTAAATTTTATTATATCTTCTTATATTACTTATCTTATTCCCAGAAAAAATGGAATATAAGGAGTCCGTGAGCAACCTGAACGATGGAGACATTTGTTTGGTTGACAGTGGAACAACACACACAATTCTTCGAGATCAAAAATATTTTTCGAGTTTGAAATTGGCAAAGGCAAGTGTTAGTACAATTTCTGGTACTACCAAACTAATTGATGTCTCCGGAAGAGCTACTATTGTTTTGCCTGGTGGAACGAATATTTTGGTCAAAGAGGCTTTGTACTCTAATAAATCCAAAAGAAACTTATTGAGTTTCAAGGACATACGTCTTAATGAATTTCATATCGAGACTATGAATGAGGGAAATATGGAATTTCTTTGTATTACAACCAATATTTCATGCCAGAAGCATGTTAAAGAGAAACTCCCAGTTTTCTCATCAAGGTTGTATTATGCGACTATAAGCGCAATAGAAACAAATATTGTGATAGACCAGAAATCCAACGATCCGAAACTTTTCTCTCTTTGGCACGATCGACTTGGTCACCCAGGATCGACCATGATGCGTCGAATAATAAATAATTCATATGGACACAAGGTAAATTAATTATAAGACCATCTCCAATAAAAATTAGTAGCGAGGCCCCAACATTTTTACAAAGAATTCAAGGGGATATTTGTGGACCTATAGATCCACCTTGTGGACCATTTCACTATTTTATGGTTCTATTGGATGCATCATCTAGATGGTGATCACATGTAAGTCTATTGTCAACACGTACTGTTGCTTTTGCTAGACTTCTTGCTCAAATCATAAGATTATGAGCTCAATTTCCCGATTATCCTATCAAGATTATTCGTCTTGATAATGCCGGTGAATTTTCATCTCAAGCATTTAATGATTATTGCATGTCAAATTGGTATTAATATTGAACATTCAGTTGCCCATGTACATACTCAAAATGGACTTGCAAAGTCCTTTATCAAGAGATTGCAATTGATTGCTTGACCTTTGGTTTTACGGTCTAATTTACCCACTTCTGTTTGGGGACATGCAATATTACAGGCTGCTTCATTGGTCAGGATTAGACCAAGTTCATTTCAGCAATATTCACCGTTGCAACTTGTTTCTGGCCAACAAACAGACATTTCCCACTTCAAAATATTTGGTTGTGTTGTTTATGTTCCAATTTATGCATCTCAGAGAACAAATATATATATATATATATATATATATATATATATATATATATATATATATATATATATATATATATATATATATATATATATATATATATATATATATATATATATATATATATATATATATATATATTTATATTAATTTATTTATATATAAATAAAAATATTTATTCATAAATATTAATATTTTTTTATAATTTAAATTATTTATTATATTTTAAAAAAAATAAAAAACATTCAAAAGATGATACATGTCAATTGTAGTGAAACTTGTACATACAACAATATTGTCAAACCTCTTTTCAAAACCAAAGAAAAATAAACAAATTTTGATTTCCATGTTTCCACATGCAATACATGATTCAATGTCAATTTCTATCATTTATGTTTGACAAAACAATAATCGATTTTTGGATAATGATAAATATAAGTCAATTAAATTAAAAAACTAAATACAAACTTTTACATAAAAATAAATAAAATAAATGAAATTACAAAAATTATATGCAAACCGTAACAATGTAGCACATAGAGCATAAGTTGGATTCGTAAACAACATCTGCAAGAAATACATAAAGAATAATCGAATATTCCAAAATATTGAAAATTAAAAAAAAAACTGTATTCCTTAATTTTAATATTTGAATATTAAAAAAATATTTTTTTTTCTAAAAATTATTTGAATATCTGTAAAAAAATTGAGTGTACTGAATTTTTTTAAAAAGACTACCAATAAATTAATTTTGAAATACTGAAAATGTTACTAAGATTTTTATATTTCGAATTTATAAAATATTAATTTTGAAAATAATATATATACACGTGGTAATTGTTTAAATGAGTGTATAAATGTTAAATAGGAAATAACTTAAAAACATACCAAAATAAAATTGACAACTCACCAATTGAAGAATCCACATCATCAATTGAACTCCAACTAAGCTATTTTAATAAATGACATCATCATTTGCCACGTGTCAATCATTGAGGCATAGATCCTCTTTTTATATTATATATAGTTTTTATAAGGATATTTATGTAATGTGATCTTATTATTATTATTAAATTTTTATTATGTCATTAGGATATATACATGATAAAGATATAAATATGTTTAAATATCTTTTTATATATATTTTGAGTATTTATAAATAATATCTAGAAATATATTATATTAAATTTTAAAAACCGATTAATCACCGGCGCACCGATTAATCGTGAGTCGGTCCCTGACCGCTTCCGACCCTATATATATATATATATATATATATATATATATATATATATATATATATATATATATATATATATATATATATGATGCTAAAGTTAGATCACTTAGAGAGTAGAAGTAGGATGAGCTGGAAGAGCAGTGGCTCACGAGCTTGATAACCTTGAGATACCTGCGATCATAGAACACGTAAACTAAGTCGGGGGTTGATCCGGCAAAAACCCCTCCGACGCTCAAGTCAGACGTGCGGATAGTGGAAATAGTCCAGAGAATACATGTTGTAGTATTGTTCAGTTAATAGGACAAACCTTAAGGAATGAGTTCAAACATTTATTTATAGTTTAGTTGAGATTGTCGGGCCCAAGCCTTACTTGAAGGTGATTGGGTCTCGGTGACAATGGTCTTTGATATTGGGCTCGTGGCCCAGTAGGTAAAGAAATTGTAGGCCCATTGGGTTGGCCCAATTAGACATATCATTAAGCCCCCCACTCTCGAGTCGATGTGGGAGCCATGTTGTAATGGGTGTCAGATCGTGTCGAGAGTAAAAATTGTAGAAGTCGATCATTGGCGTATGGCCTAATGGTGTGCGAAAACGCGTTGGAGCGTGTGTCGGAGGGGCGTGAAGGCGCGTTGGCGCGTAGCGCGACCAAGTTGTCGCGATGTAAATTATTTGTGTCGTCAGTGTTGTCCCGCGACGATGTGGTAGCGCGGATCGAGTTATCTCCTCGTGGGAGTTGTTATTTATTGACGTTGTCAATGGTTTGACATGTTGCTTGTATGTGTTTACATATTGTACGTGATGTACTTGATGAGTGGATCAGGCTCTCAAGATTTTTTTTGATGGGATCGTGCCCCTTGTTAGACCTCGTGGGTCGTAAGTATGTTTGGACCGTGGCCACGTTTTAATGAAGGACTCGTCGAAGACATGTAGAGAAATTTGAGTAATCGAGTTGGCTAGGCTATACAGATTCCCATTATATCTCTAAGTGTTTCTAGGGTTGTAATTGTACTAACTTGAGCTTGTGATTGTGTAGTGAATTGCGAGCGAGTTGTCTCCTCAAGAGAGTTGTCTCGCAGCGAAGTTGTTGGAGTGTTGATGACGCGCGACTGAGGAGTGTGCGGATTGAGGTCGCTCTGAGCGAGTTGCAGTAGCGAGCGAGTTAGCTCCTCGTGGGAGTTGTCTCGCTGCGGGTTGTAGTACCGAGCGAGTTGGCTCCTCATGGGAGTTGTCTCCCTGCGGGTTCTAGTACAGATTGAATTGGCTCCTCATGGGAGTTGTCTCGCAACAATTTTGTAAGACCGAACGAGTTTGCTCTTCGTGGGACAAGCGAGTTGTCTCCTCGTAGGAGTTGTCTCGTTGCGGGTTGTAGTACCGAGGGAGTTGGCTCCTCATGGGAGTTGCCTCGCAACGGGTTGTAGGATCAAGCGAGTTGTCTCCTCGTGGGATTTGTCTCACTACGGATTTGTAGTGTCGAGCGAGTTGGCTGCTCATAGGAGTTGTCTCGCTGCGGGTTGTAGGACTGAACGAGTTGTCTCCTCGTGGGAGTTATCTCGAAACGGGTTGTAGGACCGAGCGAGTTGTCTCCTCATGGGATTTATCTCGCAAGCTACCGAGCGAGTTGGCTCCTCGTGGGAGTTGCCTCGCCACGGGTTGTAGGACGGAGC